GAATATAAATATAATTCCTTTATCACATTTGGTGTTATAACTAAGTGTGGTGGCACACACCTATAAGCCAGCACTCAGGAGGCTGAGGCAGGAGGACTGCTGTGAGTTCAGGCCAGGCTATATATTGAGTTCAAGGCCAGTCTAAGCTACATAGTGAGACTCTGTCTCAAAAAACAAACTCAAAAAATATGGGCTTTGCAAATATTTTTTTTCCTAGTCTGTTTCTTATCTTTTCACTTTCCTAATGATCTCACTCATCCCTAGCTTTATTAAGGTATTACTAACTGATGAATACAATTATATATGCATAATGTATATAATGTGATATATATATTAAAATGATGACCACAATCAAGGAATGTGATTGTGATGGAATCTTTTTAAATAAATCATGGTGCTGTACTTCAGAATTCTATGTCTGGCCCAAGGTTTTGAAGATATCACTTGGCCCAAGGTTTTGAAGATATTACTTTCTCACCATCTATTCTTCCAAAAGTTTTACTGTTTTAGCTTTTACCTTTAACTTAATGATTCAGTTTGAGTTCATTTTTGTGCATGGTATGAGCTAAGAGTCTAAGCTATTTTTTCCTGTGGATGGATAGCCAATTATTCTAACACTATCTGTTAGACAGACTATCCTTTGTCTCAGTGAACTACCTTGGCATTTTTTTTTTCAAAAAATTAATTGAATATAAATATAAAGGCCTGTTTTTGGACTCCTGATTCGGTTTTATTGATCTGTACTTCTGTTCTTTGCCAGTATCATACTGCCTTGGCAATTGTAGGTTTATAGCAAGTTTTGCCTATTTAAGGTGTTTTGATTTTCTGTATGTATTTTAGGGTCAGCTTGCTGATTTCTGATAAAAGTGGCCATTGGAAATTTGATAGAGATTATGTTGACTCTGCAGAACAAATCTGGGGAGCAATGCCATCTTGATGATATTGTCTTCCAATCCAAAAACACGGAATGTCACTTTATTTAGACTTTTTTCCCCTTAGTAAATTTTGTAATATTTAATATATACAATCTATATACCTCGTTTTCTTTTTGTATTGTGCTTGCCAAGTAGGTGCTTGCACTGTTGAGTTATATCCCCAGACCTGTATGTACTTCTTTGGTTAAACGTATTATTAAGTGTTTTATTATTTTTATGACTTTATGAATAGAATTGTATTCTTAATTTCCTTTCCAGAGTGTCCGTTGCTAGCCCATAGAAATAAAATTGATTTCTGTACACTGATCTTGTATCTATGATCTTGCTAGACTTGCTTATTAATAGTTCTAATGGTATATTCTTTTAGACACTTGAGGACTTTCTGTATACTGGATCATGTTAACTGAGAATCATAATGGCTTTACCTCTTCTTTTCCAAGCTAGATGCTTCTCCTCCCACTGAGGAATACTAGTGCTAAGGTATATGCCTAGAAGGTTCTCTCTCCAGATAACCCATAGTTTACTTCCTTGTCTTCTTAGGTGTCTATGTGGATGTCACCTTCTCAAGGAGGCCTTCCTGGAGCCTGCTCCTTACAGCTAGCTGAACCACTCCCTGCCCCTCTTCTTAACCATGCTGTTCTTAGCTCTTTCTTGCCTTATTTTAGGAAAATCTCCTTTAACCCCCATTACACACCTTTTTTGTTTGTTTGTCTTGAGACAAGGTCTCTGTGTAGTCCAGGCTGGCCTTGAATTCACGGAGCTCCTTCTCCCTCAGCCTCCCCAGTGCTGGGATTACAGGCATAGCCCACCATGCCTGGCTCTGTTAACCCTTTGAGTTGTTTATAAAGAAAATTAAATTTAGTTGATTTTTTTTTTTTTTTTTGGCATGTGTACCAGCGATCAAACCCGGATCTTTTTGCCTAAGTGGAGGCGTTACTACTGAGCCTCACCTCCAGTGTATTTCTTAAGCAAAAGGAATAATGGTTGTTTCCTGGGTCTAGACCCCCTGTTCGGGCCTCAAAGACTGGCTCACACATCCAATGGAAACCATTCAGCAGAGACAGGGCAGCTGCACATAGCTTTGGATTTGACACAGTTATGATTACTGGAGCCTCAGTTTGCTTGCCTGAAAATGAGGACTTCCTCATGAGGTCTGTATGAAGATTGATTCATTGGCAGTGGAAAGAGACCCAGCACCCACATTAAGCAATGGGTGATTGCAATGATTACTGCTGTCTCATCAACAGCTTCCCCATCCCCCTAAGTCACCCCCAGGCCAGGGGGCTGGACCCTACCTTTTATATATGAAACGTTTCAGACCTGAAGACTGAAAGCGTGAGACAAAGACTGAACGAACACCTTTCTTCGTGAACACTTTCCTTTCCCTTCCAGCTCTATTGAAATATAAATGACAAAAGAGCTTATATCTAAGGCGTACAAGGTGATGTTATGATACACATAAACATTGCAAAATGGTTGCCACATTCAAGCTAGTTAGCATTATCACCTCACGTGGTTATGTTTTCCTGTGGGGAGAACACTTAGATCTACTTTCTTAGCATATTTCAAGCACATATTACCATCAACAATGGTTAATAATAGCTTATTTGCCCTGATGCATTGAAACTTTATACACTTTGACCAACATCTTCCCGTTTCCTCCACCTCTCCGCTCCTGGTAACTACCATTCTCCTTTCTGGTTTTATGAGTTTGACTTCCTAAGATTCACCACATGTGTGAGCTCATACAGTACTTCTCTCTGTGCCTGGCTTATTTCATTTAACATGATGTCCTCCAGGTCCATCTGCATCGTCCCACATGGACACACATCAACTCAGTCATTGTTAGAATATTTCACCATGTTTGTTTCATTTATCTGTGGGTGTGTCTTCTCCCCACCCCCTCCCCGAGCCATTTGGAAGCAAGTTGTCAACATGATGGTCCTTCATTGCTGAATACTCTAGAGTACAGCTCCAAGGAGTAAGATATTCTCCTAAGCGACATCAAAGTTAACAGTTCTACTAATACCCAGTCTACGAGCTAGCTGTCTCCTCATGGCTTTTGCCCATTTTAAAGTCATTTTTGGGCTTTTTTAAATCTCTGTTTTTAAGAACTCTTTAGTTACTGGCAAAATCAGCTATGTCTCTAAGTTGCAAATATCTCCTCCCATTTGCCTTTTGCTTATAGAAATTCCTGGTGTGAAAATGTTTCTTTAAAATTGATTTTAGTTTTTAGGTAATTGAATTTGTCAGTTTTTTTTACTTATTGCTTCTGGATTTTGATTCTTAAATAAATTCAAAATAGCCTTTATTATAAAGGAATAGCTCGTGTTTTCTTTTAGAAATTTTAAGGTTTCTATTTAAAATCTGGATCTCTTGTCCCCTTGTTTATTTAGGTGTTTCCTGTGAGGTATGAATTCACCTTTACCTTTTAGCCAAATGGTTGTTCAATTGTCCCAGAATTGCTTATTTTAAAATTTATTGTGTGCTGGAGATTTAGTTCAGTGGTGCAACACCTGCCTAGCAAATGTGAGGTCCTGAATTCAATTCCCAGTACGCCCCCCTGCCAGAAAATTAAAACGTATTGTGTCCAGTAATTTGAGATGCTCTCTTGATCACAGACCATATTTCCATACATATTTTTCACCTTTCTGGATTTCTATTGTATCCTATTGCTCTGCCTGGCTATGCAAACTTCCAATTACAGCATTTTAATTATAGAGGCTTAGGGACATGATTTACTATCTGGTAGGGATTACACCCACTTTGCTGGCCTCTTTTTTTCATTTTTCTGGCTGTCTTTGGTTGTTTACTATTTCATATCAACTTCAGAATCAGCTTTTCTAACTCTGGAAAAAAAACAAACCAAAACAAAACCACCCGCCCTCAGTGTTCTCATGAGGGTCATGTTGAATGGATACATTTACGGCACTGAGCTAAGCTTTCCAAGAACAAGGGATGTTTTTCCTCCTGCTCAGGCCACACCTTCATGCATCTGTGGGGGGCAGTCGTTTTTGGAGGATAGGTCCTGTGAAGGGTTGAATTGTGTCTCTCAAAAGGATACACTGAATTCCTAAGCCCCGGTATCTTGGGGCTTAAGAACGTGGACCTTATTTGGAAATGGGTCACCTTTATGGAGGAAATCAACTTAAAATGTAGTGATTGAGGTGCTCCCAATCCAACTTAGTGGTGTCCTTATGAAAAGGGAAAGTCCGGGTACACAGGCACACGCATGGCGAGAACCCCATGTGAGGACGAAGGCAGAGATGGGGCCATATGTCCACAGCCCAGGAACACTAACAAAGGCCTGAAAAGCCCCAAAGCTTGGTACAGAGCGTGGACAGGCCCTCCCTCTCCACCCTAACAGGAACCATCCTCGCCAGCACCTTGATCTGAGTCATTCAGCCTCCCGCACTGTGAGGAGATGAAGGCCTCTTGCTGAAACACCCAGCCTGGGGTGCCTAGCTGGCCCCACAGGCTCCTCTAAGGATGTCCTGGGCCCAAAGTGAGCGGCCCAGCCGTTCTGAGGATATCAGAAACGTGTTTGCTTTCCTGTTCCCAAGCCCAAGCAGTTCACCCAGGCCTGCTTTTTGCTTGCCGTGGAGTTGGATGAGTGAAGCCATGAATGTAGCAGGGTGCTGGAGGTGTGACTTCACTCCCAATGGGTGGCCAAACCCACGGAGGTCTAGGCCAATGAATGAATCATTTGTTCAATGCGGCCCAGTGAATCAGGGAGGCCTAGGCAGAGAGCCCAAGGTGGGGGCATTATAACCTTTCCCTTTCCTTTGGAGCCTAGAAGCTTCCCCCTCCAAGTTATCATTCTAAGAAATGAAGTGAAATGGCGCCACACACCACCCTTGTGCCACACCTGCTGCCTGCTGTGGAGAGATAAGGACAAAAGCCTAAAAAGCGAGAGACAGAGCACTCACTGTCTGCCTGTGGACGCATTGGTGTAATGATCACGTGAAGAAAATGAGTATAAAGCCATTGGCAGGGAGTCAGGCTCACAGCAAGTGTTCAGTGGAGAGCGACAATTAGCGCTCACAAGAACTCCACACAACTCACCCACGAAGGCGGGATGTCCAAGTCTCCACCCTCCATGCTGCACACACTGCTGATAGCTCCTCTTCCTCCTTTCCCCAAGGAAGAGTCCTTTGGAATAAACAAAGGATGATCTCATTGTCTCTTGCCAACACTACTCAGTGTTCTGTACTTATGAAAAGGAACTTGTATCTCAATTCATACTCGGTGAAGAAGAGAAGAAGAAAAAGACGCAGGGAGGAAGAGGAGAAGGAGAAGGAGGAGGAGGAGGAAGAAGAGGCAGAGGAGGAAGACATGGAGGAGGAGAAAAGAAAAGAAGAAAAAGAAGAGGAGGAGTAGAAAAGAAGAAAAAGAAGAAGAAGAGGAAGAAGAGGAAGAAGAAGGAGGAGGAGGAGAAGGAGAAGAAGAAGAAGAAGAAGAAGAAGAAGAAGAAGAAGAAGAAGAAGAAGAAGAAGAAGAAGAAGAAGAAAGAAGAAGAAGAAGAAGAAGAAGAAGAAGAAGAAGAAGAAGAAGAAGAAGAAGAAGAAGAAGAAGAAGAAGAAGAGGAAGAAGAAGGGCCCCTAGAGAACTGTCACTTCTCGCTGACCCACCCGTACCCAGCTGGCGGGTAGGGTGTGACCTGGGGCTGGGGTTGGCAGGCCGTGTCCTTGGTTCAGGCATGAGGCCCCTGTGAGTCACGGTGGCTCCCTGCTCCAGTTCCCTCTCCAGGCTCCTTTGCTCATCTTTATGTGTTTGTCCCATGAGCCTTGCCTGGAGGTTTGTACTGGGGACCAAGAGACAAGGAACATGTCCCCGTTTCATGCCTAGGCTAGTGCAGGAGACAGAAACAACTGACAGGGACTGCTGCTCACGGTGACTCCTTAGGGGATGCTATTTCCCCAATAAATGCATCCCTTTAACACAGTTCCCATTTTATGGAAGAGTCCAGGTTGCTAGGAGGAAAGTGGCCCACCTCTCTGATACACATCCTCCAGATCCCACATGGCCTTGTATGCCTCCACGCAGACACCTGTTCTTGTGGCCACCCTTCCAGGCTGGGAGGGGTGGGGGCTCCTGGGCTCTCCGCTTTCTACAGTGACACTAGCGTGTCTGTGGACTGAGGGACTGTGGCATTTCGATTCTTTCTCACCTTGGCCCTTTATCCTATTTATTGGGTCTAAGATGCCATCGATTCTTTTTTTTAAAGGAACAAAATAGTATTTTATTTACTACCACACTGTTGTAATACACTTTAAAAGTACAATAAGGTAGCCTTTAAATTTGGGGTGGTCTTAAAGATAACAAATGAACAGAATTCCAAATTTTTGATATTGGTGAACTGCTGCAGGTACAGGTATACATTTAAGAAAATTGTATAGCTCTTGCAAGACCAGCAATGGAACTTTATATTTTGTACATTTTTATTTGAAAATATAAACAATAATTTAAAAAGAAAATACAGCATAATAAAAACATACATTTCTCAATTAAGTGCATTATATTTTATATATATTTTAAGGGAGGAAGTAAAACAAGGAAAATGGTTTAAAGTGCAGACTGATTACCTAGACAAAAAGGACTTAAAATAACATCATAAAACCTCTATTTTTCTATGACTAATATCCATATGATTGAAGTATAGTCACTATGGAAGTGATTTTATTACGTTTGCATATGTTTTAGTATAGTGATAATTAACATAATAGCTTTTAAGGCCCTGGTAGGCACAGTTTTTGGAAGCACAATTCAGTAAAAATCACTGCTAAGACACAATACACCTTATTTTTTTGGTCCTCCAGTATTCAAGAAAAGGGATAATTTACTCTAACATTTTCTTGCACCCAAATGCCTCAATGTATATATTTTAACTTTTTAAACAATGGTTATGCTGCCCAACTTCATTACTGAAACAATATTAACAAGACATTATTTTGATGCCATCAGTTGTAAGGCACCTCACTAACTCTCATGGATCATTAATAGAAAGATGCTGTAATTACTTTCAGCAAACAACACCCTTCTAAGTCATGTACTACTGTGAGAAATGTTAAAGCGTGGAAAATGTGCCTTCCACATAGTGAAATATACAAGGAAAGTAATTACTCCTCCTAAACACACACTAGGAGAAGATTTTATAACTATCAATACGATAATGAAGTTGTCTGGACACTCACCCTGTGCATGGTATCGCTCTGCAGGTCCTTCGGTCCATGATCTTCAGTCAAGGGAAGCAGGCTTCCTGCAAAGGGCAGGGATGGCGCTCTAAGACCTTATGAGTCCTGTGGTCCCTGTTATAACTAGCCCCTTTTCCAAACTCAAAAGCAACCATAAACTCGGCATGGTTGCATATGCCTGTAATCCCAGCACTTGGGGGGCTGAGGCAGGAGGAGCACTGTGAATTTGAGGCCAGTCTGGGGTACACAGTGCATTTAAGATCAGCCTAGACTACATAGGGAGACCCTGTCCCTAAAGACCGAAAACTAACCAAAAAACAGCGATAAATAATATGTAAATAAAGGGCGAGGCTATATGTTAATAAAACTTTATGGAAGTTGACATTGACTTCCTTGTAACTTTCATGGGTCACAAAGTGTGATGGTTTTTTAAATTTCTTCCAACCATTTAAAATGTAAAAACTACTCCTAGCTTGTGGGTTATACAAAAAGAAATAGAGGGCTAGGTATGGTTCAGAGACTGTATTTTGTCAATCCTTGTCTCAAGGACATTCTCAGCTCTACAAGATAAACACTATTATTCTCATTTTGTCTATCAAGCAATGAGGCCTCTCCCCTGACTAAAGCTTACTTGATTTTAAGAACACGTGTTTTTAAATGTTTTTGTTTTTTCTTTTGGTTACAAAAGTTACACATTTGACTTAGAAAAATCCTGCCATACAAATTATTATCATTTGAGACAGGGTGTCACTATATAGTCCAAGCTAACCTCAAACTCACAGTAATCCTTCTGCCTCAGCCTCCCGCGTGTTGGGATTACAGGTATGTGCCACCATGCTCAGCTCAATATCACATAAATTGATAAGAAAGCATCACAGGGAAGTGGCGCTCAACTTGTCGGACATGCTGACTCCACGTCTCCCCAGAATTGAAGAATGGATCCAAGGAGGTCAAGAGTAGGAAAAGGTTAGGGAAGAAAGCTCCGGAGGGACAGGAAGGGTCCTGAAAGTGGGTTCTGCTGAGGCTCTTCCTCTGGGGTTTCTTATGTGAGTCTCAGACCACTTGGCCAAGCTGAGGCCAACCTATGTGGTTACAAGAATAGTAGCTTAGCTAATATTAAGCCAATAGGGAATCGAGGCACAGAGCAAGGGTGTGTGGCATACTTCAGCTATCTGTAACTTCTAACGGAGAACAATTGAAGGCATTTTGGGGAAAGGACAGGAGTCTGGGTCAGGGTGTTCTGTCACCTACCTATGCATCTGATGCCCCACCGAGGCTCCCTGGAACAGGGGGTGCTGGTTATAGTACGCTCTTAAGGTGCTGCCTCTCTCTAGGGAGGCTCGCAGAACTGGCTCTCTCCTAATTTGTCTCCTGCCATAATTTTGATGTTTCATATTTTGCATTGATTCCTTTGAGGGCCTAGTTCCTCTCTGAGTGCCTTTTAGTTTCTGTCTCTAATAAGAGGAGCTCCAATGTCCAGAGATAAACAGTGATAAGTGTTTGTATACACAGTCATACCACTCTGACTAGAGTTAGAATGTTCTGAACACTGTGTGACCGTGGACAAATTGCTTAACCTCTCTGAGCCCTCATCTCTCCAATGACGAGGCTGAATGAGATGACACAGCTCCACAGAGCCTCTCGGGCCTGACTCTGAAAAATCTGCTTGCAGGAATTGTGCAACAGCAACTGGCTCTGTCCTAATGCCTGTGTGGGCATTAGGTGTGGGGGCTGAAGTCAGCTCTTGCTAACTGCTCAGGGTGGGTCCTGCTGAGTGTCTCTGTCTGGCTCTGCACTGAATGACCAGGGAGAGGTGGCAGGGACATTTCAGCCTGAGCCGATGCTCCTAGAAGGCTCCAGGCTTCCTCCAGAGCTGGTGCCAGGGACCCTTTTGCAGGAAGGAGAGCTCCAGGCCAGCTGGGAGGCAGAGGCCTTAGCCATTGCTGCCTGGCATGGGGCTCACAGAAGCCGAGTCCCCAACAGAGTGGGGTTTAGTGGCCACGCACCTGGGCCCGGCTCCATCTCCCAAGCTGAACAGAGCCTGGGTCTGGATCTGCTTCTGATGCTCATCAGCTGTGGGCCCTGGTGCTGTCTCCTGTCAGAGCCTATGCCTTGCCCTGGATCACTGATGAGCTCATGGAATGATCCCGCACAGTGCAGTACACGTCCCTTTCCACCTCTTCTCTAATGTCACCTTCTAATGGTGTGCTTAAAGAATTCGGCTGTTTCACAAATTGTGGGCCTACTATGGGCCAGGCACTGCACCAAAGGCAACAGGATGTGGGGTCCAAAGAGTGGGCACAATCCCTGTCCCTGAACTGACAAACTGGCAACCCAGGGGCATAAGATACAGATCTAAGTGACTTTCACAGGATCAGGGTATGTGCCGAGGCCCTCCAGAGCCCAGGAGAGAGGGAGGCTGGAGAAACCAAGAGAGTCTTCACACACAGAGCACTTTTGCTGGGTCTTGGAGGATGGGAAAAGAGGATGAGGAGCCTACAGCGGACAGCATTCTGGCCTGGAGAGGTGGAACTGCACAAGCAAAGATGTGGGTGAGAAAAGACAAAAAGGTTCCAGGAAAACAGGCCCAGCGAGGCACACACAGGAAACTCCAAGGGAAGAAACGACTGAGCCAGACAGATGGCCAAAGGAGCCTGGGAGTGGCAGCTTTGGCCTCGGTGGGGAATAGGGGTCATAGTGGGTTACAGAGCATGATGAGGAGCCACCAGACAGCAAAACAGCAGCGGATTCTGAAGGAGACCTGTGGGCCACACTGTCTCTCCTGAGGAGCAGGGTATGAGCCACCACAGGCCTTTTCTGTTCCCCTTAGTTCTAGATGGATATTATTTGCAATGTACAAATGGAGAAACTGAGGCTCAGGAATGATAGGCTGCTTGCCCAAGGTCATAGAGCAGCCAGTGTGCTGGGGCCATTTGTGATTGTCTTCCATAAGTGCTGTGCCTTTCATTCTCTGTGATTCCAAGACAGATTCAAAGGCAATTTTGATGGCAGCGTTAGGACAGGGCTTGTAGGCTAGTGTCTCTCCCCCACCCTCTAGAAGTAAATGTCACTATTCTCTCCATCCATCACTACAAGTTGACGTAACTTACTCAAGGCCACACAATGAATGTGAAGAGTCCAGGCCAGGCCTTTGGCTGGGCCTTCTCACGTTCCCATACTGCTTTTAGGTTTGTTTTTAAACTTCTCTAAATCTGGAAGAGCCAGGCGTGGTGGCACATGCCTGTAATCCCAGCACTCGAGAGGCTGAGGCAGGAGGATTTCTGTGAGGTCAAGACCAGCCTGGGTGACATAAATCTGTCTCTTAAAACAAAAAAGAATCAGGAAGAACCCAAGTCAGAAAGGCTGAGTCAACTCCTCTGATTCATCCTGCTCCAGCCCCCTCCACCAGCCATGCCCAAAGCACCAACCTGGCGCCCCTCTGCAGTCACCAGAGGTCACATTATTCTGCTTTTCACTGGATCTGTCCCCTGTTGAGAAGTGGAATCTCCATTGCTGGTACTGGGGCCTGACTTTTACCACCAGTGTCTGGGCGGGTGGCCGACTGACCCTAACAGTGTGGAGCCAGCCTACACCAAAGAGGGAGGTTCCCCAGTGGGGCCTCTGCCCTACTCACATCTCCAATATCTCTTCTGAGCCTCTGTCCTTCAGTGACCCGCTGGTAGTTTCTGATGCTGAAGCCCGTAACACAGAATGTCAGGATGATATAAAAATTGCTTTCTGGGAAGGGAAAATCCATGAGATTCAATGAGTCATGATAAGAGGGCGTGGGATAAGGCTTGATTCCTTATACCTACTGCCTCTCACAAAGTAGGCTGTTGTACATTCACTATATAATGCTGGCTTGGAGGCCTCGACAGAGCAAGACCGTTGCCCAGGGTCATCCAGCTATGAAATGACAGCATGGGGTTTGAGCCTGGTCTTTGTCTCTTTCTGGTAAGGGACAGAGGAAAAGTCAGAGGCCAGTGGACACACCTCCAGTGCCAGATTACACCAACTACGATATTTGTATAAAATTTTGGTTAGTGGAAGGTAAAATGAATGCTCTTGCTTAGAAATAAATAAATGAATTGGGGCAAATCAAGTTGGTATGCAGTGGAAAGACAGCCACTGTAACATTCTATGATTCAACCCCCAAAATATGTTGAGGGCCTCTGCTGAATAAGTAGAATAAACAAGTAATATTTTTTTTTCTCCCTCTCTTGAGATGCAGGGAGGGTGTTACCCTTATCTGAGAACTTTGTTGTCATCAACCAATGTTCAAAGGACGGTGGGGAAACGCCCTTTTAAAAAAAGCACTCAGTGGCCTGAACTTCTAGAAGCATCCAGGGGGAAAGTTCGAGAATGTGAAAACATACATGGTAAAGGAGGCAAATGCAGAAGTGGCCGCTGGTGATACAATCCGCAAAGCAAGAACACAGGCTGACCAGTAAAATCCCTCCCCCCAGGAGGGAGTTAGAAACCGCAGAATGTTCCTGATTCTGCACCTCAGCTGGGTGGCGCAATGTTTATGTTTGTGTATCTCACACATTGGCGTCGCCACCACCGCGGGCTCTGCTGCCCAGGGGACAGTTGCTGGGGTTCGGGACGAAGATACCACATAAGGTGGTCCCAAGTTTGGGGGCGCAGGCCCTGAGAATTCGATTAAAACGTTCTGCAACTGGCTTCCCAGTGTAGCCTATGTAGATGGCGAGGACCAAGGCAGCGGCGGATGGGTCGGGCTTCTGTCAGATGGAGCCCCTGAACCCAACGCAAAGTAGGTTTCCAATCAGCGGTGTTTGTGGAATAAAGAAACCGACTGAGCTGTCTTGAGCCACTGTGACAAAACGTGCCTGACAGCCCCTAGGGGGCGCTGTCAGACAGTGCTGCGGTCGCCCTGGCGCCCCCAAATGCTCAACCCTGAAGTGCAGTTCCCAGCCTCCCGACTCGCCTTCCGTGGGTTGTCTTCTAGGGACCACTTGCGTGGGAACATCTTCCCTAGTGGGACTTTGATTTGGGACACTGTCCTTGGTCATTGTTGAAAAAAATTATACTATCTTTAAAGTAACAGAGAAGTCCTAGGAAACGACCATTTTCCCGAACTTCTGTCCAGCGGTTCGCTTTCGTCTTCCTTAATAAGAATTACATTAACCCGGACAAAGTCGTTTTCTACAACCCTCACCTCGAGCTCTCTGTGGCCCTAACCACATCCCAGCAGTGCGATACTGGCCAAGTTAGTCGCTTCTCCCAGGTGGCCTCAGTTTCCCCGTCTGCTTATAAGAAAAAAATGACAGAAAGGGAACTATAAGTACGCAAAATCCCAGGCAGCTCCTTTCTGCTCCGACTGGGCTGAGGAGGAGTCGCGAAGAGAAGGTGGCGGGGAGGAGGCGAGAGGCAGGCAGGTGGCCCAGCGCGCTCTCCCGGATCGCTGGCACCCCGGAGGTCAGCCCTCGGCTGGCAGCGCGCCCCCTCTCCCTCCGCGGCACTCCGAGAGCGGCTGGAGCCGGGCCTCGGGGACGCGCCAGGCACAGGACGGACAGCGGGGCGGGGGCTGGGCCCCCAGCCAGCGCGCGACCAGCGGACCCCGCTCCGAGGCCGATGACGTCTTTGCTTTTGGCTCCAGCGGCGCCAGGCCTGGCAAGGCGGGTGACGTCACCGCCCCGCCACGTGACCACCATTCAAACAAACAAACCGCCTCCCCCCCCCCATCCCGCCCCGCCGCTCCGCGCGCGCGGGCCCGCCCCGGCCCGCCTCCCCCTCCCCCTCCCCCTCCGGGAGGCAGCATATAACTGCACTGCCCCAGACCAAGCGCGCTGCAAAGCAGAAGCCGGCTTAGGTCGAACTGAGCCTCAGGGCGGTCAGGGGAGCAGCGACAAGGACAAGCCCAGGAGGTTCTCGGAGTCCGGCATAACTGCCTCTTACTCAGTCCAAGGACAGGTTGAGGTCCGACACAAAGAGACCAGGGTCGGGCTTTTCCTGGAACGCCTCTGCCCTGCCCTTGGCTTCTGAGGACAGACAAAAGAGCTCCCTAGGGACGGGCACGCTGGGGGCGCTGAGGTCGGCCATGGTCATGGAGGTGGGCATCCTGGACGCCGGAGGTCTGAGGACGCTGCTGCGGGAGCGCGCGGCGCAGTGCCTGCTTCTGGACTGCCGCTCCTTCTTCGCTTTCAACGCCGGCCACATCGCCGGCTCCGTCAACGTGCGCTTCAGCACCATCGTGCGGCGCCGGGCAAAAGGCGCCATGGGCCTGGAGCACATCGTTCCCAACGCCGAGCTGCGCGGCCGCCTGTTGGCCGGAGCCTATCAAGCAGTGGTGCTGCTGGACGAGCGCAGCGCCGCCCTGGACGGCGCCAAGCGCGACTGCACCCTGGCCCTGGCGGCGGGCGCGCTCTGCCGCGAGGCGCGCGCAGCGCAAGTCTTCTTCCTGAAAGGTACGCGCCCGGGAAGCTCGGGGCCGTGTGCGCGCTGCGGGCGGCGGGCCGGGGACCCCCTGGCTCTCTGTCCTTGGGAGGGGGCGCGGCACCTGGAGCGCGTGAGCGCCGGCGCCTTATCTCAGAGGACTTCTCATAGGCTTTGTTTGGCGCTGCGAACAAAGACTTGCTTGAGCCTCTCGGATATAAACTCTCAGCCCCTGGTGGGTGGGGGAGTGGTTTCCAGGTACTCAGTCTCGCTGGTGCTAACGGAAAAAAAAATTGTCTTTGTATTATCAGGAGGCTATGAAGCGTTTTCGGCTTCCTGCCCCGAGCTCTGCAGCAAACAGTCGACCCCCACGGGGCTTAGCCTTCCCTTGAGTACTAGTGTTCCTGACAGCGCAGAATCTGGATGCAGTTCCTGCAGCACCCCGCTGTACGATCAGGTTAGTAGTGGCCTGTGCTAGGGGAAAGAAGTATAAAGAAGGGGTGGCAGAACCTGGAAGAGTGGTGCCTGTGAGAATATAAACTGACCACGGCTTGTTTATAACAGAGGGGACATGGAAATCATATTGATTCCACTGTTAAGTGTGCCGGTGGAGTTGAGTCTTTGCTTTCTATAGTGCTGGCACTTTTGGTTCTTCTTAGCCTTAGTCCCCTATTTATTTCTATTCCATCAGCAGTGCTGAGGTCACCCAGCATCTGAAACTCACTTTTCCAGTAGGGAGTTTTTGTAGGTGTGGGCACTGGTGTTGACTTGGAGTGAGGTTGACGAATATTGGATTTGTTTTTTTCCTGGATTGCAGGGTGGCCCAGTGGAGATCTTGCCCTTTTTGTACCTGGGCAGTGCCTATCATGCATCCCGAAAGGACATGCTGGATGCCTTGGGTATCACCGCCTTGATCAATGTCTCGGCCAATTGTCCTAACCATTTTGAGGGTCACTACCAATACAAGAGCATCCCCGTGGAGGACAATCACAAGGCAGACATCAGCTCCTGGTTCAATGAAGCAATCGACTTCATAGGTAAGTGGAATGCCTCTTTCTCTGTTTTAGTCACAGAGCCAGCCCCAATGGCAAGGACTCAAGTGATCCTCATCTGAGCTTTCCTCCAGAGGTTAAATATCTATCTGACATAAGCAACGTCTCTGCAAAATATAGACATAATGTACCACTTCCCAGATTAGCAGCATGAGGCTCAGATAATTAAATTGCCTTTCCAAACTAAGTCTGCTAACTGGGACTGCCCAGACTGGATTTAAGTCCCTTCCTGTCCTTTGGATAGTTTGAGTCCCACCATGCCTCCATTAAACACTGTGCATCGCTGGCATGGGGTGATGTCAGCCACCTCTGGATAGGATACTCATGACATTTTTGGACACCCTCTACCTGGGCTTGGGTTGTTCTCTTAAGCTGTCAAGTAACCAGCCACCCTTTGTTTTCCAGATTCCATCAAGAATGCTGGAGGAAGGGTATTCGTCCACTGTCAAGCAGGCATCTCCCGGTCAGCTACCATCTGCCTTGCTTACCTCATGAGGACTAACAGAGTGAAGCTGGACGAGGCCTTTGAGTTTGTCAAGCAGAGGCGGAGCATCATCTCCCCTAACTTCAGCTTCATGGGCCAGCTGCTGCAGTTCGAGTCCCAGGTGCTGGCTCCCCACTGCTCAGCTGAAGCTGGGAGCCCTGCCATGGCTGTGCTGGACCGAGGCACCTCCACTACCACTGTCTTCAACTTCCCAGTCTCTATCCCTGTCCACCCTGCCAACAGTGCGCTGAGCTACCTTCAGAGCCCCATCACAACCTCTCCCAGCTGCTGAAAGGCCACGGGAGGTGAGGCTCTTCGCAGCCTGCCGGACTCCAGCCTCCACAAGAGGGCAAATGCAATAACTCCAGGGAAGAGACTCAGGAGGGCTGGTCCTTATTTATTGAATTTCACCCGGGTTCCACTGGGTTCCCAAGCAGTCACAATGATGACCTAGTGTCAGGACATTTGCTGAACTCAGCACATTTGGGACCAATATACAGTGGGTACATCAAGTCCCTCTCTGACAAAACTGGGCGGAAGAGAAAGGACACAGAGCTGGTTTCTTTTGACTTGCCCCTATGCTTGACATACGTACCAGTATTACCATTCCTAATGACATATACATACAAGAATATACCTTATTTATTTTTGTGTAGGTGTTCTGCCTTCACAAATGGCAGTGTCTACTCCTAGGAGAACCAAATACCTCAATTTTTGTGTTTGAGTACTGTACTGTCTTGTAAATAGACCCAAAGCAGGTTTGTTTTCAGCACTGATGGAAAACACCAGTGTTGGTTGGTTGTTGTTTTTTTTTTCAATTGTATGTTTGCTGATTATTATTTATGACCTGAAATAATATATTTCTTCTTTAAGAAGACATTTTGTTACGTAAGGATGACCTTTTTTATACAGCAGAATAAATTATGGCATTTCTATTGACATCTCAGTACTGTTTCTTTGACCACCCCACCCGATCCCCCTTTGCTAGTGAACTGGGGAGGTGTTTGGACTAGGGCTTCCAGGATGTGCTTGTTGGGATCTGACCTTGTATCTCCTGGTGGCCACATAAAGATGCCTCACCCTCTTCCCAAAATGATGGTGTTGCACAGGAGGTCAACCAGTGAAATGCAGAGTGAAACTCTAGGTGCTTAGCTGAGTTCTTAGTATACAGGATCAAAGTGGCCCATGTCCTCATGTCACCCTAGGAGCTCAAGTGTCCTAGAACCAGAGAGATGAAGAAAAGGCCATTTGCCTGGATAGCTTTTCTTCATTTAATACCTTCCTCAGGATGGTATAAAAAGTCTCCCTCCCCTGGCTGAGCTATGCTAGAATTACAGGGGCTAGGAAAGTTTTCTAGGATGCTTGAAGTGTGTTCCTGCTGTGTGCAATGCAGTGGGTGCTGTCTACCCTCAGAAAACCTCAGGCCTTGCAAACTAAGACAGCCCTAGCGTAGCTGAGTGGCAGGAGCAGGAAATTCCCTGAACGTTGTACTTAAAGACTTGTGATCTCACAAAGCTGTTTCTGAAAGTCCTTTATTTCTGTGAAACGTATAAATCAAGGCACTTTAAGACTTGTGATCTCACAAGGCTGTTTCTGAAATCCTTTATTTCTGTGAAACGTATAAATCAAGTGACTAAGCACTAAGTAAATACAACACTGTACAGCAGTCACCTTCGAGCCCCTGCTCCTGACAATCGCAAGCAGCTTCTGCACACACATAGCATCTTTGGCAGCTGCCTCCTTCAGGTCACTTCTTGATCTTGTTACTTTACTGAAGAAAGTAAGCAATTAAATCTGACTTGCTGTAGGGCAATATTCTGAATTTTACTCTCTTGCCAAGCAGGCCAAAGCAGAGCAGGTATAATTGACTGCCAACCCATAATCCACTCTAATGTTAAATAACATCGAAGTCCTCGGGTTGCTGCTTCTATGCCCACCTCCCTGGGGCTTTTTTTTTTTTTTTTTTTTTTTTTTTTTTTTTTTTGACAAAGTGCTGTGGGGAGCAGAAAAGCAAACATCCTGCTCAACATATCTCAGAGTGTCCGTTCCACACGATGGTCTTCATCCGGCTTGTCAGGGAACTGGTGCCCTTGATCTCTCCCCATTGGCCCACTTCCTGCCCTTGACTTTCAGGGCCTGAAAGGTATCCTCAGTCTAAGACGTCAAAGCTTACCCTGGGCTGGCAAGCTCTCTCAGTTTCTTGGCTGGGTTACTGATTAATGGCAAGTGTGTTCATGCCTTTCAAAACAAACCATAACTAGTGTTCTAATCAAAGCCTAGAAATTTACTGTTATAAATCTTTTCCTCTGTGGAAATGTACCAGTGATGGTGAGTCCATGGCCCGTGCTGTGGTGGCTGACTTACCCTGGGCTCGGATCTTCACTTTCAGGTTGCAGGCGCTGGCTGAAGCAGAATTAATCTCCAGTGTGATCCACTGGGTGGAAAAATACAGCGCTGTCTTAGGGAGCTGCCAGTGAAAACAATTCCCACACTTCTGCTCCGTCCACTCCAGCTCCAGCTAGAGGCCACGCCCCCTTTCTACACTGCTCAGGCTTGTTAGGTTCTGAGTCTCCAGAAATTTTCACTTTTGGTCTAACACTTTTTTTTGGAAAAGAATCATTACCTCCTGATGAAAAGAAATGCCTAAATTCTATTGAAAGATTTGTTTCCCAGAGATCATTGAAATGGAGACAATTTAACAGTTTAACATTGATAATGTGATAATAATAGCTGTCAGTTTCAGAGTGAGCACTTGTGCCCTCCACGGCTAAGTCCTTTATTCATGTGCAAATTGAACCTTTCTCAAGCAAAATCCATTTTGCAGAGGAGAAAACCAAGTCTCAGAGAGGAAAAGCAACATGCCCAAGGTCATAGAACAAAATAGTGACCTTGCAGCAAGGAGATCAGGTCTAAAGGAAGGCTGAGGACCAAAGACTCAGTCCCAAAAACAACTTGAGAGAGTTGGGAAAGATGAATTCTAACCCACCAGACTGCCCATGGTTTCGCCACCTACTTTTTGGGTGGAAAAACTCTTTGTCCCTAAGGGCCAGTTTCCTTCCCTGTAAAATGAAGGTAATAAAAACCGCTACACATGTGAGGAAGAAATCGGGCTAAGACTGTCAAGTGCCTTGCATGTCACGGGCAGGGAGAGACATTTGACTCTGTTGCCCTGTCCTCGTGACGTCTGGCAGTTGTTCCAGCTTAGCTTCTCTACCCCATAAAATGACCAGTTTGCACTGGATCTAATGGGTAAGGTTTCCTCCCAGTTCTCTAGGTCTAGGATGTGGAAAATGCATGGATGCCTACTTCATGCTTTTCTGTGGTTTCCAGGCATCCATTATTTCATTTAGATACTTCCAGTCTCCGCCTCCTCTACTGCAGCATCTCCCTACCCTGGAATTCTGCAAATTTAGGTTAATTTACTTTGCGTGTTCAGCCCGTGGTTCCCACTTCCCTCACGCCCCTGGTCCAGCAGAGGATGACATCATGGTGCCTATACCTTTAAGATTATATAAATCTGTGATCCTACAGAGGCCTCCATCCCCATGGCAACGTGGAGGAGTTTCCCTTTTGTGAGGAAAGCTGTAATGTCACTTCCTGCTGCTGACAAATCAGTTTAGGAGATTAAGGGGGGGGGCGGGGTGCCCTAGAGAAGTGCTGGCTGCGGTGGTTTCTGGTTGCTGTACACAGAGCCAAACAATGCCTGCCAGGCTGGTGGCCCTGCCTAGCCCCAGCAGAAGCTCAGGTTTCCCACACCTCGCCCCAGGTGGATCCAGGTCACCCCAGGCTGATTTGCTCCCCAGGTTGAATTCTGGCGAGCAGGTAGGAGGGTTGCCCTCCTCTAGGGACTTTTCTGGGGCCATGGGCAAGCTTATTCCAGAACAGCCTCTGCAGCCCGACCAGCCCGGTTCCCCTGCGTCAGCTTGGGACCTGTGTTTTGTCCTGTGGAGAACAAAGAGCCTGCTGGCACCACAGTGTCAACAAAACTCTGCTCTGCTCAGGAAAATACCCTAAAACTACCTTTTTTTTTTTCACTGTAATTTGAGTGAAGCAGGGGCCCACTCATTCAGTCCCTCATTCACTGATTAATGCAGTTGACAAATTATTTATAGGTGTTCTAGGCCCAGGGAAACTTTGCAAGGCAAGGGCTTGCTCATAAGTAGCTAACACAGCAGCAGAATATAAATAACTAAGAAAAATGACGATGAGCCTGGTGTGGTGGCATAGACCTGTAATCACAGCCCTCAGGAGGCTGAGGCAGAAGGATCCTTAAGAGTTCGAGACGAAACTCACTTGGGCTTCCAAGTGAGCTCAAGGTCAGCCTGAATTACATAGCAAGACGCTGTCTTAAAAAACCAATCAATCAATCAATCAATCAGTTTTTAAAATGACGATAAAGGCTGTGAAGCTAAAAAGGATTTGGCAGGGACGGAGGCTTGTCTGAGGGGAGTCTTGTCTGAGGGCTGAAGGATATAACCCAGTTGACCACTGGAGAAGTGAGCTGAAAAAAAGGTTTGGGCCAGGAGAGCCGAAAAACCCCGAGGTTTGACTGGGATCTTTGTAGATGTGTGCGTAGAGCACTTGACTTAGTAGAGTCATCAGGACCCTGTGTTCAAGTCCTGATTGTGCCACTTGCCTGTGAGTAGGTTACCAAAGTCTCTAAGCCTTTCTTCCTCCTTTGTAATATGATCCAATAATCTCCAAACTTCGGAGGCCCTCTATAGATTAAATAAAAAACAGTCATCTCTGGGCACACCACAGAGACTTGGGAAAGGCTTACTGTGGCTTGTGACTCAGCTGGACACCATTCTGTCACTGAGCAGTGGTGCCACTCCCCAAAGTGTCCCTACAAAGGGAAATAGAGAAGTGAGCTGTCTTGCTACCGTCATGACACCCCAGGCCTGTATTCACATACTGCTTCACTCTGAGCTTTGTCTGGTGAAGTGGCATTGCTCTGAGGTCACCCAGCCCTGCCCACTGACCTGGGCCTCAGTTTCCTTGTCTGTCAGAGGCACCTGAAGTGAACCTTACCTCACCTCCTTTCCTGCCCAGCTGCTAGCACCAAGTCCCTCTGTACTGCAGGCCAGGAAGGCTCTGGAATCTTGGGGGTTCATTAGGGCTGGCTCAGAAAGACAAGGGAGAGGAAATAAGACTTTCTGGGATGGGGCAGCCTCAGGTCCCAGACCTTTGCAAGGTGAGTTGGAGTAATGAAGATGTGAATGGTCCTGTGGAGAAAGTTCCCCAAAAGGGTGTGTAGGACTTCTCTCCAAGTCCAAGACAGTTCTCTGCTGTGGAGAACACTGCAAAGAGGGACTTTAAAATACTCACTGTGACTGACACAATTCATTCAGTCAATCAGTATGTGTTAAATGCCCATAGCTTGTCAAGCCCTCAGCACATATGAAACCGATACAATCACAGGACATTGTGAGATTCCTTTGCAAATGCCCGGGAGAAAACTTAAAAGTCAGCTAGTATCCAGGGGATCTTGCATGGATTATTTCTTCCCTCAAAGCTTCATTTCCCATATCTATAATGATGGAAGCGTTTGCTTCACATGGTGATTAAATAACATGGTATACCTGACTTGCTTTGGACATTATTGGACACACCATAATAACACATATGGCTGTTAAACCATAATTACCATTATAAGGGAAAGATTTTTAAAAAGGAAAAAATACATATTTACAACCAGCAAGCGGTAAGCTCTAGCCTGGTCCTTTTTTTAAATGCAGACTTGAATATCTACTAGCTTCCTACACACTGGTTTATGAAATTTAGCAATTTCAAAAACAAACCTTTGCCAGGCATGGTAGCACATACCTGTACTAGGTAGCGAGTTCAAGGCCAGTTTGAACCACATGGTGAGATTCTGTCTCAAAACAAAACAAAACAAAACAAAACAAAACAAAACAACCCAGATCTTTGATTTACTC